GAGCTCCCACTAAAAGAATTATTTTTGGTAAAGTAAGTTGTTGCCGCTGTTACAATTAATAAAATCTATGATGTTTCTACGAACTAATTATTTTTGCATTTAATCGGATTTCAAAAATCAAGCTCAACTTTTCCATCCTACAGTTGGATTCTGAGTCCCTGCATGCTTATAAATTATTCTGACAAGAACACGCACTTTGCGAAGTATCTAGCATAATGTCCTATTTACAATTTGCATTATTAGAAAGATCAAAGCTATCCATCCAGTGTCCAATACGTTGAAGAAAATCGTATACCTAATTTTATAACATACTCAAATTTACATCTGAGAAGAAATTTTATCTTCTTTATATCTATTTATTCTGCATGGCAAAATTGTTAGTTGGCTCTTCTCAAAACATAATAACCATGACTTTTTTCGGCTGGTTAGATTCTAGCCCAGATTCTTTAGGAAATGTCATTCCAAGTTTTCCACATCCTCAACTGCCATTCATGCAGGTGAAATGGTTTAATATCTCGCAAAGCACTTGAATTTGAATTTTAGAAATGTTCGATCTATTTTAAAATTAAGAACCACATCAATATGTTGCATTGATACTCCTCACCGTTCATGTTTTGAATGTGTATGCCACAGTGTTATGTTTTAAGTGAGTTGAACATGATATTGTATGTCTTTCACTACATTATCTATTTCACTGACTTCTGTAATCATTCTTATTTCTTTATATAGTCAAATTCCCTTTTGATTTGAGTTTCAACAACATTTCGCTTTATTCAGATGTTTCTAGATTTGTTTGCTTTGCTTAATATTAATGTATTTCCAATTTTTGACATCTTTTTTCCCAATTATAATAAATATTCATTTTTAGTGAGTGCTTTTTGAAATGTTACATTATCCGTGAAATATACAATCCTGAATTCAACGGATTGTAAATAATAAGCCCCCCATTGGGTCAGCAACTGAGTAGTTTGGAAGCATAACAGAGTTTAAATTTTAAATACTTTGCTCATGCTAGAAAGTTTTTACAACACGCTAACTGATTGTGGAAGTGGTATTATTAGGTAGTTGCCTGCTAACATGCAGTATACATGAGGCCCTAGCGGGAATCTCAATTGTTTGTAAAGATGCATAATCGGATCCAATCAGGTAAGTCAGAGACATAAAAACAGTAAATATTTTGCAAATTGATGTGAGCTTCAGAACCGGAACTAACGCAGTATTTCTAAGTCATCAAAGTCGAAATCAAAATTGAAGCCAAGTTGAATATCGAAATGTGGAACTGGAACAGAATACTCTTTTATTTATCAAAATTTAACAAAAAAGTAAAATTCGAGTAATCCCATGTAATTCACATTCTTTTATTGAATTCCGAAGGATTAACTCCCAGCATCTGTTCGATTTCTGCTTTATCAATAAATAATCCGCAATTGTGGGTCAAGTGGCTTTATCTTGAGATTAACTCAAATCATTTCAATTAATATACTCTCACATATCACTTCGAGACAAACAGTCCCGTGATATGACATATCGAAAATAGTAAAAACTGCGGAATGGGAACCAATTTTTGGAAGGATAATCCGAACGACATCGGAAGATACACTCCTGAACGTGACCATGAATACTTCTGAGATTTCCGAAAAACCGTTAAGCGGTATTGCTGATAAATGGTTCCTCTCTTAGGTTCCAAGTGATGCGCACTATGTTTCAACATTATGACATTCGTTTCCACTCGCTAATTATATTTTACAAGCTAATTGCGCCGCATATAACACAAATATTTTGCCTATTTTCCGTAGAAAAAAAAACTCCAAATAACGTTAAGCCAAAATATTGGATTTGATTTTGATTTTTTTTCTTTTCAAGAAATACAACAATGTAATATAACATACATATTTATAGCAACCAACATATGTAAAGTTGATCCACACAGAAAAGCACATTAAGTTGACATCCTTATTTCAATTAATCATCCAGTCTAACCCAACCTTCCATCAAAAACAAAACATTGGAATAATGATCCAGGAATTTCTGAGCTACACTATTCTAACATCTACAATTCAGAATAGTCCAGATTTAATATTAATAGTGCCTCACAGAATAACACTACTCATTCCTCATGATTAGTAAAAATCACAATAACCGTAGCACTCACTATTCATTCCTCACGATGACTAAAAATTAGCGATCGTTTTTTTTTATGCTTTCGAATTAACTGATTATTGGGTAAATTTAATGTTTGCAGCAGAGTACGTATTCGCTGTGATAGGTTTCCATTTTTCAATAAAGAGCTGATACCAGATAATCTTTTTTTAATTCTTCTTCGAACTGGACAGTTTGAGACGAAGCGCGAATTTGCGGCAGTACCTGCAATTTAAAGTTTTTGAAAATAAGAATCTAAATGTTATCACACTTTTGGTTTCTTCCATTGAAATCCTGGTTTAACGCATTATTTTGCTAACATTTAGAATCACTAAGAGTTTTTTGAAATCGCTCGAATGTTAAATAGACGTGTTTTATCGAGGAAAAGAATGTTTTAGAATAAGATAAATGAAACATTTGAATAACATTAAAATTATGGAATCTAATTTAGCATATTAACAGGCATTTCTAAAAACTCACTTTATTAAATATTCCAAATATTTCTACCCATTCTTTTTCATTAGAAGAGGATACTTCTTCTGATGCGCTCATTAAAAACAATGAAAGAATTCCGGATAGTGCTTGTAGAAATTTATCAGGTAAATAAAGTGATGACTTTGACTGACGTGGCTGTGAACCAAGCACACAGAAATCGATCAGTGGTCGAATGGCTGAAGTTAAGTTAATCCTAGTATACTGTTTAGTACGAATGCTGAACGATGCAACATGAAGAGGTCCAACTGTCGCACATTCTTCTACTAAGAAAGCTCGCAAGAAAGCGTGAACGCCATCTACCAATAACTGAAAAAATCTAATTTTCAGCGCCATCGCATAAGTTTCTAAAAATTAATAAGCTTTTTATCACGTTCGAGTTGTTAAAATATCAAACGGCTTTATTTTTTAATTCAGTTTCATTTTGAACTTACAACTAGGAGAGACCTAAATTAAAGCTGAGTATATGGCGGTCAAACAAATATTGTCAAAGATTGTGCGGTATCGATCGTACGATTAATACCTCCTCCTGTGTTAAACATTTAAAATTTACTCTGCGCTAAACTTTCCAGGCAAGCAACATGATCCCAATCGCTTATGAATGTGTGAGAATATTTAAATAAAAATGTTCACTCTAACTAAAACTTAAGCTTCATAATGAAGAAATTTTTCAAGAACCTTTCTGTTTGCTGGAATCCTCTTACTATTTAGAAATTCCACAAATGAATCGAATAAATCGATACTATTGCGACAAAGATCAGGATAAGTTTGCATTAGTAGCGTCAAAATGGTAAGCGCATAGATCCGTACACCCATCCTGAGATGTGTTAAAGCTCGAAGAGTATGAGCTATTAATAGCGTGAAATGAGATGAAATCGTTGAAGCACTCGTTGTACATAATAATTCCAGAAGAGCACGTAGTTGAGCATGAAACGATGAATCACTTTTCTAAAATTACTTGATAATTTATTTTAATACTTGAAGTTTATTGCAAAATTTTGAGAAAAACAAATGAAAGAATATCTGGAAATAATATGCATTGGAAGTAATATGGGATATTTAAGGAAAAGTAATTTCGTCATCTAAAAAAACTCACATCACAAGCAATTAAACGCCCAACAGTCGGTATCAATATATGCAAATATTTCGGCACAAGTTCCGGATGTGAAGAAAGTAACTGCCTTACACCAACTACTGAATTTCGTCTCACATTTATGTTGTAATGTCCAAGTTGACGACACAGTTCATTCAATGATAAGCCACGATATGATAAGCAACTATCACTACTTTTTGTTAACTGTTCTACGAGTACAACCTGGAATGCTTAGGATATTTTCCTGGACTTGCATGATAATATCATATGCACCACATAAATGTGCATTAGCGACAAATAATCTCACCTGATATAAACTAAAACAGTCTCATTCTTGTTAAAAAAATATTTTTTCTCCGAAAACAAACTTTTTTAGAATGGATTCGTGTATCAGTAGTAGTTGTTTTCTTCAGTTTTTTCCCAATTTTCAACTTGGTTTTAGGGAAATCTTTCTTCTTTTTGCTCATTGTATCAACAAACCTTAAAAGAAAAGATTGATATGAAAATACCAGCGTTGCGTTTGAGAATGATGCATAAAAGTTCTTCACCGTAGTAATACTTTCAGTTCTGCGTACGATCGATAACAGCAAGTTATTGCGAGTCCAGAATTATTTGCGATCATTCGAAAGAAACACTATTACTTCAGTAAATATTGGAGAGGGAAATGGCAGCAGTAATGGATTCTCTTCAACGGTATCTTACTTTCGAAGATCGATTTCATATTGCACCAAACGTTACGAGCGTGAAATCTAATGATCTAAGTTGAAAAAGAGGTGCCAAAAACTGCAGTTTTTCCATAATTGAAGGACATAGCGTAGCCGAAGAGAAATAAGGAATTCCATTGAAGGAAGTGAGGTCCAATAGGATAAGACCCAGAAAAAACAGACAATCCATTTACGTCTAAAAAAGGAAGGCCTGTTCGGAAATTTGGTAACAACTGCCAAGCTCAAACGAGCTGACATTTACAACTTGCTATGCTACCATGCCAAAAAAAAAAAGCTGAGTGACTGAAATTTTTGTGGAAATAATGACAGAGATCTGAGTGGATATGATGATCTACCGAAAGGAACCCACAAACATTGAAATGATTGTATCTTTATATAAAAAAGCAATGCACATAATGTGAGAGGAAAAACGCCGCATATATCACGCATATCACAGATCAATTAGTAAAACATAATTAAGGAAGAAGTCCCGCTATCGCGTCCAATCATATTTCAGAAATTAGGAAATGAGTCGAAAAATCGACTTCATTCCACCGAAATATACACTTTATATACACTAATAACAAAACATATAACTGACATTAAGAAACAGAAATTCACGTGAAATTCACTTCCGACAAAGCCATTCGCACCGCTATTAAGTCCTTGCTGCTTGGGTTCTCAGCAACCAATTGCTTTAATTTCTTCATATATGTATCGATGTTCTGTGCGGTTGGATATTCTCCTACAAAATAATAGTTGAACAAAAGTAAACTATAAAAGGATACGACATTGAAGACGGAAAATAATGACCGGGACTCAAAATATTTCCGATCATCAGATCTTTGATATAAATGTTTGGAAAACATTACACATTTAAAGAAGTCAGATATCTCATAAATTTTCATTTAAAGTGGTGAAAACTTCCACTACAAATAATCAGGGCCTACCATCAACAGATACATATGCAAGAGCGTCGATCAATAACTTTGTCCATCGTTGTTTTATTTTCGTTGACCAGTGAACTGCTCCGGGTTGCTGTCCATTTATTAATTTCATTCTCTCTGACAACCTATAAAAACAGAACTTCTAAAGCTTTGCTATATGATACAAAAACTAATCAGAAAGACCCAACCATATCAGCATATCCTACGTTTCTGTATGTTCAGTATAACAGTCCATATGTGTCTGACTACGAACTTATTTCATAGAATAGAAGCTTTGCTCCACCAAAATTAGCCGTCCTATATGGATACCATATTCCCCTGATTTCGTTAAATGCACTTGTGTTTATCTATCACCATATGTAGATATAGTCTACATATGGTGATAAGTAAACATAGGCAAAAAGTACAAATTGAGTTCTTGATAAGAAGAAAATATATGCAGTAGTGAATTTTAAGGGAAACATATATAAACCTACTTTGCAATGTCAGCTTTAAGGAGATCTTTTTCTTCCTGGAGAGCACTCACCATTTTTCGCAACTTTTTGCATTTACTTTCCTGACCTACGAAAGGAACTGATTTGAAAACAACTTAATTGGCGCATACAAAAGTAATACAATATGATAGTTCTACAGTTTGAGAAATGTCAAATGCACAGCGTACAATAAATAATTTTAAATTATGAAAAATAATGTTAGCAATCCAAGTCCAAGTAATAAGTAAATAAAATGTTCATCCATAAACTCAATAAAATTTTATTATGGCTATGACCTCATTTATTTCCCAAAAAGCAGTTAAGTGGTATGGCATAATTGTTGTTAATTCGATTTAAAATTCAATCGAACGTTTTGGACCATACTTTTATTGTAGGCAAGAAATTCCTTGCTGAATATTGGGATGTCACCCGCAACAATTGCTTCATTTTTGTCTTCTTCCTCAAAAGTAAAATTTGTCTTCATAAGGTAAATAACTTCTCAAATCCTAATTATTTCGAAAATCAAAAAAGTGTTTTCTGGGAAACCAAACAAGCTGAGAAAAAATTTACATCATCATCGGACTTCACGTCGTTTTTGCGCCTTTTCAATTCCAGCATTCTTTGCTTCATCAATCCTTCCTTTCTAACTGAAATTCGATTCAATTTAAGCTGAAGATTCATCCCAAGCATGAAAATGAAGTAATTTTCACGGCAATAGTTCACTTTATCCTGACCTACGGAAACACTCAATAAAAACGACCACATCTGTATAACAGCTAAAAAAGAATGGAACATCTAAAAGTAGCCAGCTCCTTGATAGTGAGCTCCCACTGTCCTACTCATTGTTACAAATACAAAAATTTTAGAACCAGTATCTATGCGTATAGAATTATAAAATTACGTTTACTATCTTGGATTACGTCATTCTTCATATAATGATAGCTGACAGTTCAGAAAATCAGGTCGAATTAAAAATTGTTTTGAAAACAAGAGAAGTAAATTAAAGATGATGCATAAAATAGAAATTAAATGGAGGAAGCAAGAATGAAGTAAGGTTCTGGCTACGATCATTTTTTTACTTGCTATAAGAGGGCACATTGGATGTTTGAAAATGATTTTTAAAAAAAAGTATTTAAAAAAACCAGCAAACCTTGGAACTGATTATAAGCTTCTGTTTTTTTGTATTCTTCCATAGCTTTCTCATAGTCTGCATGTTCCTTTGCTGATTTGTCGAAATAAAACTGAGGAAAAACAAAGTCACAAAAAAAACATAATATTCTGTTGAAATCTGGTAGCATGACATATTAAGTCTCCCCTATCTGATCTTGAAATGAAATTTTTTCGAAGATTTTACCAGCATATTAATGTTACTATCGGTGTACACCCAATATAAAATAAGTAACTCCTGTTCACAAATTCCAGAAATTAATAATTTCAGATCTGGCAAACAATGCTGAGATTATCACTGCCTCCTAGCAAACACCGCTGATACCTTGATACTAATATTACTTCAAAATTATTTCATTCCTTCAAGAGGTGCAAATTTACAATGAGCACCAAAAATTCACAAAGTTTGTTCCAAGCATTTGCATGAAATCAAACCAACCTTCTTTTGGTCATCCGGCAAAATTTTCCATTGCTTCCCAATGTCTGCAAGGAAACTACGCTGGCGTAATACCTCATGGCTACCAGAGTCCACTAATTCCTTTCTTCGTGCACTGAAAAATAGTTTTCGTCCTTTTATAATTTTAACATTTACACCTACCTATTATTATGTGAAGTACCGCCCCAGCAATAAGCATTCTTCCATATTTTTTGCACTCTAACAGTGATATTTCACTGTATAAATAAATGGAGAAAGCGTAACATACTTAACGAAGTGAACATATGCGGTACGAGGCCGTTTCGGAGCATTTTCATCGATATAAACAATCCTCTTTTTTTGACGTTTATTTTTCAATGATGATTTGCGCAGCGCTGCAGACATTTAACAATTGCTGAAAGAATGTAAGATATAACGACAAACTATGAATTATGCTTAGTTGCAGTGATGCATTAAGTCTTTCGTTATAGTAAAGGACAAACAATTTACTTTGCATTTTTAGTATATATCACAAAATATGGGTTTACACGAAATTTTGGACAAACTTAAGTGAACAGTTTCTTGCTATACACAAATACTCTTCATGACAAAGATTGGAAGAGACATGTTAGACAAGCAATCCCAAATGGATAATAAGATAAAAGTAAATTCAATAGAAGTGGAATGGACTTATCCAATTTAAACATTAAGGGTCTACTACTCATCCTCAATCAGACCTCGTCTGAGTCCGAAAAGATTGCGACCACCACTGAAAATTTCAAATCCCATTCGAAATTTATCTCAGAGATTAGTATTAGAAATTATCGGAGTTGAAATGAGAGGAGTTACAAAGAGACAAGAGCGAGGAAGATAGGTAGTCATCGTGCGCATTGATTTAGCAAGAGGATATTATCTATCCTGGAAGATAAGGTCTTGAATCCCCGTTAATGAGACTCTAAGGATAGAGGAAGTAACAATGACGAAACGTGGAGATTAGTTGGCTGGAGAAGTTTCAATGTCATTGCTTCATTACCGCAATCATAACTGTATCATTCCATTGGTTCTTTAATTAGTCATCATATCGCTTATAAGCTCCTCGACTTGGTTAATAGGTCCACACATAAGCATTCAAGTGCATATGGTTAAATAGGATAGAAATCCTCATTCAGTCGGATACATAGCTACCCAGCCAAAATTTTATTTCAATTAATTCATTTATTTGAAGAGACATACATTTTTCATATAAATATATGCACCTATCTATATAAATGAACATTTTATATGCAACCAAGTATTTCCATTTGAATTCAAAAAAGAAAAATATAATGATGAAAAATATGTAGATAGTTTGCCAACAAGGAAAAAGATTAATTGATTATAAAAAAGACGTTATTTCAGAATGATTTCAAATGTACTGTCGTGTTTATCACTGACAAATGCGCTGCATTAATTGACTGAATCGTTTCAACGATCAAACAGAAAAAAGCCTCATGTGAAATACAGTATTTAACATACGAGAAAGATTCAAGTTCTGCTTTAATACCACGATAGAAATTTAGAGAATATAATTTTAATATAGAGATAACGTATATCAATATTCCGAAACGTTGAAGTGGAATTTTTGGCATATAAAAGAATTGTTAGAAAGAAGGTATAATAAGACTACATAGAAATTCAATTTTCCAAAATATCTCGAATCGAGTTCGAGAAGCTTCATATTTTTGAAGTTTCCAAGATCTTTGGGAACTAGAAAACTTTAAAATTCCTTCGAAAAATATAAAGTTTAAGCTAGGTCTAAGCTTCCGAAATTCGAAAACCCATACAATTTAACAAAGTGAAATTAATAAAGTATTCAATACCAGAAATGAAATAAATAAGGACCCGTTGTTATTGATACACAAACAATGTTTCTAAAACAAAATGTTTACAACAAATCAAACATATTCATCATTGAGATAATAAATAAAAATGTACAAATGAAGTTCATAGTTATAAGGAAAGGAGTTAGTGCTTGCGCTGGTAATAACAATTATATGGACTACTAGATCACCGATTGGCTGTGGCAGTTGTCATTGCATATGCACAATGTCACAGTAAGGAAAACCCATCGTCGTCTTGAGCAAACTTGATAGAATTGCTAACAGGTATAACAGTACAGAATGAGAACAGCATTCAGGCGAATGACGAAGTAACACTTAAGGTACAGTTATATCCGAAGTACGTTACATTTCAAAAAAAACACTACGAAAAATGAACAACCAGAAAAGGACACTTCAGCCAGATATTCATGGCTTTTCATTTTCTTTTGGCAGTACCGATACTGCACCTGCCTGCAAACAAACAGCTTTAAATTTTACGCTTTAAATTTTTTCAAAAAATTTGAATATCCAAGCGATGAGCTTCAAGTCATCATTGCATAGCGATATGCAGAGTACACCTGAGATTTATAATTTCATGACTATTTTAAAACTATTTCTGGTTCCTCAGACTGCGAATAATCCTTGCATGAATTTAATCCTTCCACAGTAATTTGCAGTTCTCTTGAAAATTTTGGACAATGTTCTACCATAAGTTTATACTGGTGAGTCTTTCGATACCTTGATTAATTGAATCAAGCATCACAATCAAAACGAGTGAATAAAAAAAAACAAAGTCCAATAACACCAAGAAAACGACCTGTACGAGTAATGTGGGCTGTCCTTTCCTCCGTATTCGATACTGCGTTGGAAGTTGCAATATTCCGGAACCGGATATCGCTGACATATGTTCTTCAGAAGCGAGTGAACGTTGCCGTTCCATTGCAGCGCGACCTACAAACATAAAAACTGACATCAAGGATTTACAACGTCGGCCACAAATGGCTCAGAAAAATTTAGCAAGTATAAATTACTGATCAGTGAAATATAGTGGATGAATTCCTCTAAAAGACTTGTTCCTATTTCGGTCTTAATGAATCAGTGGATTTAATCTAATATTACAAAGCCTTGATTACCAGCACGAGTACGTGGTGTTCTCCTTGGTGTCTTCCGTTCTGCCCCTTCCAAGTATCCTGCTTCTAATATCTTCTCAATTTCATCCACAACACCCAAATCTTGTTTTCCTGAAATTGAAACATTTTTAAATGATAAAAACTGCTATTTTTTGAAAGAAATTTAAGCGAAAATTTCTTAAACATGAAAAAGCAGTCGAACAATGGATAACCGCCTCACAACTTATAGAGAAAAAAAAGGAAAAAAACGTGATAACAGAGTCATAGTACTAGTTTATACTCTTATTTAAGTTCCACTGTCTTGTTACATAATTCTGTAACAAAATAACAGCAACAATTATTGAATTAAAAATCGGTCTCGAAAAAATTTTGCCATTGTAAAAAAGCCCAAAAACCCCAGTAATCTCAGAAAAAAAAATTTTCATAGCGTGAGCTATTTTCAAATATTTAAAATACTAGAATATTTAAAATACTAGGAATATTAATAACTCTCACAATAAAACAAAATCTGGTTATCGTCGAAGGTTTCAACGCACCGTAACCATATGATCTCCTGTCGACGATTGAGTATCCGCTATTTAGAAACGTCTTAATCCATCAAATGTACTATATAGCTTGGATGGCAAAGTCATATTCATTTACAATTCTTTTTCGACATTAAAACTACTATAATATCAAACCTGTTTTCAGGATCCCTTCGATTGCGACGGTGCGATTCAGTGGAGATGCCGCAATTCCTGGTTGCAGGGGCTTCAATGGTAGTCTTTTCTTCCTTTGTTCCTCGCGTTCTTTCGCTTCACGTATTTTCTCCATGTCATGGATTACTTTCTAGATGTATAAAATATAAAGAGAAAGGCATATTATTACTCCAATTCATTCTTCACTTTTTACTATTCGGATTTCGGGATTTTTACATGTACAGTGATTTTATTGTTCGAGTTTCTGCAGTTCTCATATTGTATGAATTTTCGTTACAATGTCTAAACTTTAATCCAGCTTCATACTTCGTAATCCTCTTTGAACAATTTCAAATCACTGAAAAATGTTTCCATGTTGTATTTTTTTGGATCGAACGAATAATACTTTCTTAAAGACTCCCATTTTGCGTTCATCGTGTTATACATCTGTAAATCATCTTTTCCTCATATTAAAATATTACCAACATACTCTTCAAAGAGAATTGCAACTAATGTTCGGACATCTAACTCACTATAACAACTGATCCCAATGTTTGTTCAAAATAGAACTAACTAACCTTTTCTACGATTTCGCACTCTGTTTTCGCCTTTGACAAAAACGGACCCATTTTTTCAAAGAACAAGTCATTTTCTGCTTGCTTGACAAATGTCTTAAGCTGATTCTCGACCTGTAAAGCGAAATCTATAGCTGATTAACACAAAGTAATACCACTATGAAGTTCTCAATACGTTCTCAATGTCTAAATCGAACGTACGTCAAAATATGAGGTAGTCCAAGGCTACGAGATAGTGTCCAATTCAGTGTTGAGGTAACCGTTAGATTTTACTTGATTTAAGAATATTTGAAACTGAACTAAAAATTACCTTATTGAGAGCATTTTTCAGAGCACTAACGCCTTTGGCCACTTCATCCGCATTAACACGCGAAGCTTTATCAACATGGAGGAATTCATTTTTCGGAAAGTTTGCGTACAAACCATCTGCTTCTCTAGACATACAACTTACGAGATAGTGTAAAAGTGATTCGCTATTGTTGACATCTTTCGTACCACTTAACTGTAATCGAGATCGCATTAGCCAAAAATCAGAGAACACGAAGAAATAACCTTTCGACATCGGTCACGAAAGATTCCAGAACATCCCAAAATGACTATCTTATACCTTTTTAAGTACACTCATTTCGAATCCGAATATATCCTTATATGTTTTCGATGAGTGCCCCATGTAGTTGCCAACCAAAAGAACCATTTCTAGAAACATCTTGAAACCAGCTGACGTGTGAATTTCATCGCATGCTTCTATCACAGCCGATATAGTCTGAAATAGTCATAACAAAGTGACATCAGCCATTATTAATACATTATTTTTTCAATACTGAACCCACGCATCAAATAATGCATTCAATAAGAATCAGGACAGCAGTGAAATCTACGAAAAATAGCCTTAAATCGAAGTATTGTGCAATATCATAAATACACCAACCGGTTTCAAATCGTTAAGAGTTTTATCAAATTCGAGCATGAAAATCATAGAATCCAATCTTGCTGGTAATCCTTTTATTGAAGCCAATGTTGCAGCAAACTAGAAAATGTAAATCAGATAAAGAAGGATTCAAATATTACAAAAGCCAAAGTTGGAAATTTTTTAGCTGCTAGACATGAAACATCTACTCTATATTACCTGTTCGCCTTCCGGCATCTCATTGAATTTATTACCAGCTAAATCCTGAAGCTTCTTCAACGCGTCAGATGGTGGCAAAGCATTTCTCAGCTGTTGCATTGTTCCCGAAGATATTACTCGATCATCAATTTCTAACAAAATCCGCTTCCATTCCTCTAGCGGTATCTTCTGCGATCCTTGCAGAATGGCTCAAAAAGGGTACTCACTGCTCAAGAAATATGTTCAGTTTAGATACCATTTCAATTAAAAAAAGTCTACATTTGAGCGAAAAAAAATGTAGGAAATCGATTTTCAAACCAAGATTTTGTAAGATCTTTTCCTCCTGTATGACTAATGGTTTTCGGACTTTCTTCTTCGGCAAACTCCTTCCATTTGTTGTTGAGTCAGAATCAGCGGTACTATTTCGACTACAAATAAAGCTGTTACATAAGCAATTTCATACTATTTTTAGATTAAGTAGATTATAACTTCCTCATGGTTTGCTTATAAAATCATCCGCTTAGCAACTGCCAATTTTATAAATTGATATCTTTATTTATTTATGGATATCAGTATCTGTATGTTGGTAGAATTATTCATTACACTGAAATCGAGATATCTGATCTAATGCTAAAGCTGCTATAGTTGGAAAAAGCTGTGAAAATAGTTATTCCTAGTGAAAAACATGAAAAATCCTACTTGGCCGCAAATTTTTTTTTTAGTGTTTCAAACAATCGCTCATTTGCGAATTTCTCTTCCGCTGTTTGCGCCCAAAAAGAGTCCTTACTGATTTCTTTAGGTTTGATCTAAAAAAAAAATTTTGCATAAAAGAATAATACCTCGGGTAAAATTTGTCCATTTTTCAAAATAATTTGAGAGTATCTGAAAAACCTACTGTTGCCGAGCTCCATGGAATTTTTTTCATTGCCACATCAACTTCGCGACGTGGTTTTTTCTTTAGATATTCTGGTAGCTCAGGGCTTACCATTTCATTCATGAACCGAGGTGGTAATGGCAACCCAGGTGGGCCTTGTCCACCTGGTAATGGTGGTGGTGGTGGTGGTGGAGGACAGCCTCCTGTAACTGAATAGTGAAAAATATCATTGCATACTTCCAAAACATCCGAAGGAAAAATTCTTTTAAAAAGATGAAAGTGTAAATCAAATTTACCAAATGACAAAAGAGGCGGAGGTGGAGGTGGTGGCGGTGGCGGTGGTGGTGCCGGTGGTGGTAGTGAAGGAGCACCTTGATGGCCAGATGTTGAAGGAGGTGGAGAAAGACCTCCTGTAAGTGTAGGTAATTTCTTATTCGCTGTTTCAGCATAGGTATCTGGTGGCGGTAAACGGCTTGTTGGTGGAGGAAGCGGCACACTTGGATCCTTTATCTGGAAGAAAAACAAGGCACATGGTTTGAAATTAAAATGGAATCGAAAAGAACCTTGAAAATAGTGAATAACTCATAAAAACCTTACATGCTTTCTCAGCTGCTCTGTCTCATTTGCAAACTCCTCCATCCTCTTGTAATATTGGCTCAATTTGGCTAAGGCTTCATTTTTTGCTTGTGTGGCCGTTTCAACACGTTTGTTCGCTTGCCTTCCTTCTTCACCATCTTCCAAAGTATCTAAAAGCAACTGATCCGTTTAACTTGGAAATTATATGTCGAAATGTGAGCAACAAACATATGGACATATCAAATGTCTTTCTGAATATGGGAAATAAGTTGAAGACTTAAGAATTTAACGACAATAATAGGTACAAAAAAGTCTACTAACCGAGAAAATGAATGACATCTTGAGTAAATTCGAATTTCCCACGGAAATCGGGATCCACACATGTTTTCGGTAGAACGATTTCTGAGATGCAGTTCTCAATCAGTCGAAAATATTCTGCCCTGTTGAAATAATATAGAAAATATTTAACATTTTAGTAGTAAATAAAGACTATAATCATTTAACCTGAAATCTCACTAAACTGAAATGATTTAACCTAAGATCCTTTTTAACCTAACGAACTAAATTGAAATTCGGTTAGCAAATCCTTACCTTATGTTAATGTCGTCGGTTACTAGAAGAAGGTGTTGCAGAATGCTCAAAAATGGTCCTTCAGCTCTAGTGTTTTTCACACCAGCTAACAAAATGCTGTAGCAACAGTCCGGCTCTTCATATTCTCCTTTTCTGAAACATACTACTGTTAAACGATTCAAGCACTATAAGGGTTATAAAGAATGCCATCTTGCTAATACAGGACTTCTACGCTAATAGCGCAAAAAAGTTATGAAAAAAATCGCTGGCTTTTGGTTATCCTTTCGAAATAATGAGAATAAAAAACCACGGTACCACAATAATAACGGACATTTGTTCAAACCGATTTACGAGTTCAGCAAAATCGGCTTCTTTGATTCGGCAGAAATTGTCGTACTGTTTCTTGATTGCTTCCAAAGTGCAACTTTCCAAAAACTATAAACACGAACTGTGTCTTCCACTAACGCATATTAAGGAGAGATATTGGTTTAGCAACTACAATTACTTAGCTTCATTACTAAAAATCTTTCAGAATAAGCACAGATTTAATTTAACTTATAAGTACTTCATTTTTTTATGATGTTCCTTTCTCTACTAACAACTTTACTCAAGAAAAAAAAACTTTCTAGTGTCCCAAATGTATGTTGCATTATACCAAAATAACCACAAAGCATTATTTTTCATCATATGTATCGACATCGTTGACGGAATAAAATAATAGCTGAATATGAATTTTAACAGCAAACAAGCTATACTCAAATTTGTTTGAATAAAACTCAATCTAACCTGAATACAGTCGTACATACCAGCACGCATGAACTCACTTCTCCAATGCATCCGAATTGGCCAGGCAGCTTCTGCAGATGCACGACCTTCCTCCGTAATTGTATCATCCGGCTCCGGTACGTCCAGCATTACATTTACCAATGTCATGGCTTTTTTCTACAGTAGTTGATTAGATTATATGAATTCCGCTTCTTTAGTGCTGGTTTCTTACAATTACTTAAAGGAAAAAAATGGCCAGTAAGAAAAGGTTCATTTTTTTTTGAAGAGTTTTAAAAAATTGTCCGAATCAAATTATTACTAACCACTACATCAAGACGGTTCGATTTATTCAAACAGCTGACAATGCAGCGAAACCTGTCGCATTTTCGTAATCGGGCTTCTTCGGTTAAGGCTTTCAAGAGTGTCTCACGTCTACAATTCAAAATATTATCTACATCACAATAAAATATATATGTATACATATATACATATATATATGTATACAATATATATATGCATGTATATATATATATATGATATATATATATATATATATATATATGTATATATATATATATATATATATGTATATATATATATATNTATATATATATATATATATATATATATATATATATATATATAT